CACTAGGAAAGTGCGCCGCCAGACGGGAAACCGTAAACATCAAAAACATCACAAATGCGAGAGTTCAGCGCAAACACTGGAAGGGGTAGTAGAATATACTGTGCAAACAAGAAGAGAATTTCGCGTCATTTCTCGCTTATGATGGGGAAATTTATAGCTGACTGAGTGCAACGGGCTGTAGTCTTCTCGATGTAGTACCATATTTTCTTTGAATCGTTTTGTTTGTTTGATCAATTGACGGTTGTTTTGTAGAATGCAAAATTTATTTGCGTATCATGTTTTATTTTCGTACATATTAAATGAAATATTAAGAAATAAATTTGTTTATGGAATGAAGCGTGTTGAATGGAATGAAGAGTGAAGAAAATAAACATTTTACATTGAAACGATTTTTCTTTCTCCTAATTTCAACATCATTTGGCTAGTAATATTAATATTACATCGTATTACATCTTAACTTTCTCTTTATTACATCTATATTCACAATCCAAAGTCTTTAATCGTGAGAGGTAAGGGGCATGTCCTTGTATTCTAAAGATGTATCTGGAGTTTTAAACCTGTGTTCTCGTAACTGTAACAAATTGTCGTTTTGGAAATGCGTTTATAATGGTTTTCACAGTGTTCAGTGTTGGTTTCCGTTGAATATGCTTACATTTTACGACGAATTTACATTTAATTTAGCTACAAATTGTAGCTTTATAGTGAGTTAAACTATGTACAATTTATTGTACATAGTTTATTCTACAGTTTCAAAGCAAATCTTTTGGATTGTGAATGCCATTGTCTCATTGTGGATCTACGTTCCTTTTATTATGATTGATTAATTACTAGTGATTCAACCGCACGTCAACAGCAAAGGACATTGATCTCCTGAGTGTAGAGCATGCTTTTGCTCAGGAGGTGGCGGTGATCTAGCCTCGCTGGATGACGAGATCCGGCGCCGACCTAATGTCAGATATAGGGGTATCCCAACCAGGTATCTCCCGTTAGCGAGGCACCGCCCGCGTCGGAACAAGCACTAATTTCGTATCTGGTCTCCACGCATGAGTGTAAGTGGAGTGCATGTGAGTGTAAGTGTGTGTAAGTAAGGGGGCCAGGATAGGTCAGAGAAGAGGAAGGAAAGATCGTGCGCGGTTCATGGCTCGTTGTGTAGGGTACTGTTCCGGCATTCGCCTGGTATTATTTTTTTATTAATATCTAAAACTAAACAAATTTGAAGAAACGAAACATTTTTTTTTTATTTCTGCGAGGTTCTTCAAAGTACATCAAAACGAGCAAGTAGTGTACGAAAAACAACTCTTCACTCAATTTCAACGTTAAAATGCTCTCTCCACTTCACAGGCGAGAGGTTGTAGGCTTCATCGGCGTGTTTGGGACGGAGTGGCTGGATAGCCCGGATCTGGCATGTGTACTACATAGCGCGGGCGGGTGCCTCGCCTTCCGCCGGAGACGCGTGGAGGAGGGGAGGGGAAGGGGGAGGGGCAATCCCTACGAGTGCTTGGGCGCGGGGACGCCGAGCGGAGCGGCACCAAGACGAGACGCCCTCGCCCTCGCCTCGCCTCGCCTTGCCCCGTCCCCCCCCGCCCCCGCCCCGCCCGCACCCGCGCCCGGGAATTGAAAAGACATCAAGCCGCAGACAAGAGGGCGAACGCGAGAGGGAGACGCGACGCGACGAAGAGGGAGGAACGCGAGGAGGCGAGCAGAGGATAGAGGAGGAGGCGGAGGAGGAAGAAGAGGAGGAGGGCGGAGCGGCGTGCGAGCACACGAGGAGGAAGGCTGCAGTGACAGGGAGTGAATGTTTCGTGTGTCCGGACGCGTCTATTTGAAGCCGGGAACTATCTGTTTTTCTAACCACGTATTAGCTCTGTTAGTATTGTGCATGACATTACGGGGAGGTGGTGTTCCGCTGCTGTTAGGACGGGAGATTCAGCGCCGAACTACACGTCCGCTTGCGAGTTTTTCTCTTCCAGGTATCTCCATCGCGGCAAAGCTCTAGCCGGGACAAATTCTAATCTCCTAACAAATTTACTATCGTAATGCAGTGAATGTAAGTGTGTACGAGGGGAGAGAACGGTTAAGGACGAGGAAGGAAAGGTTGCAAACGACCGTGGCCCTTTTACAGGGCACTTAACCTGGTATTTGTTGGAGCAACCACGTAAAACTACCCACTAGAGGAGCCAAATCTACTATTCTCATCCGGAGGGTAATATCGACCTGGCTAAATAGAATGTGCTATGACGTGTGGAAAATCTACCGTCATCAGGAGTCGCACCCTAGGCCCTCCCGGTCAAACACGTCTGTTGTGTGTGCGGCTGGGAATGTGCTCGGGGTCGTCGGGGAAGAGAGCGTGGGTGAGGGTGGGGGGCGAGAGGCGAACGGCAGGTGAGGCGGGGCGGGTGGGTGAAGTGTTTGAGACAGGTGGGGACGCGGCTGCGCGGCGAGGAAGGGGCGGGGACCGCGCATTGCGTGGGGAGAGGAGGGGATGGCGGGGGCGGGATGCGAGTTGCCCTCTCGGCATTGCGGTCACGTGTCGCAACAACACTCGGAAAAGATCTCCGTACTAGTCGGGCTGTACCCTAACAAACGGACTGCACGACATATTTCCTCTATTAATGTCCCCTCCTCTACCCTTACACAACTACTACATTACCACACATGTCGGGGCAACAGTCGGCAGCTTTGAGCTGGTCTCGGCTTGGACGGTGCTCCACTGAGGGGAGATACCAGGAGGAGAGAAACCGGCAAGCAAACGTGCATTTCGGTGCGGGTTCGTATGTCCCAGCGGGGAAGGAACATTGCACCTCCCGCTTATAACGTGAACTACACGCTCCGGACTAATGATTAAAGTAGCAGACCCATTCTGGAACATTAACATCGTTCTGCGCGCAGCGAAACAGCTTACAGTCGCGTTAGATTCATTGCCGGCTCAAGAGAAGCTTACCCTCGGACGAGTACTGGCATTCCATTTTATGGCTTGGTGTTTTTAACAACTGGCTCAACATTCTCTACGGTGATCCAAATGAACAACTGTTCTCAACATCGACAGATAATAAAGTGAGATTGCAACGTGTTTATGGGCAGTTAAGATAACGCCGGAACTCCCAAGAAGCGGTTAGACCTGATGACGGTTTTGAATTATTTTTTTAAACAATCCCATAAGCTTTGAATGTCGAAATCATCAGTTAGGGTTATGAAGGATTCCAATAATTAAAAAAAAAAACATCGTAAGCGACGAAATAGGAGCATCTTACTACCTCCACGAAGACGGAGCAATAAAACTCGGCTGGGCTCCGAGTAGCAAGAAGACAGATTAAGGAGGCCTGTGTCATGTGCGCGCAGGGTGAGCGAGGGGAGGCGGTTTGGGGCATCCGAAGAGCGATCGGGTGCATGTAGCAGGGCGCGGGCGGGCGCCATCACCGGATGCGGTTGCCGGGGCAACGCGCGTCCCCCGGCGCGGCCGGGGGCGGAGGGGGCGGGAGCCAATGGCCGGGGATCAACAGCGATCGCCCACCCTCGCCCTCGCCCTCGCCCTCGCCCGCGCCCGCGCCATCGCCCGCGGCCTGCGCCCTCCCTCGACGCGAACACGTCCGCGTCCTGGCGCCCATGCGAACACGCGAGCACGGCCCGATGCTTCGCTTCCTGCGCCAGGACGAAGACAGCTTGCCCAGGAAGTACGTCAGGTTTGAGCCAAGTTTTGTTATTGACAGTTATGTGCTTGAGAAGGACTTTCGCACTGTGTGTTATAAACTACAATATTCAATCCAAAAATTAAGTTAAGTTTATTGAAATATTTATTCGTTTATTAATGTATCTGTGCCTTTTGACAAAATCGTAGTTTAATCTTCTCTTTACGAACAGTAATTTCATAAGCAAAGATCACCTTATTTCATGGTGTCGTTGTTAAACATTTTTGGTTAAAATAATTACTTAAATATTATTTTATTGTAATTTTAATGTTTTTAATTTTTAATGTTACATCCTACGGTACTCTTGATGACCCTGTTAATAATAAAATCTAAGCTAAGTTTAATATAAAATACATTCACCAACAATCGAATCTACAATTAAATTATATCTAAGAAATTAAATTTTTTAATGACGTTAAGGGACGACTTCGGTTCGTATTGTCGTCTCATCTGCGTAATCAGTGATTTAAAATTCATTGATGATGTAAACAACAGTTTGTCATTTGCTTTTATAAATTTACGCACTACCCCAATTTGTCCATTACCAATATATCAAATACCACTCTCTTCACCACTGACATTTTCACCGCAATAAATGTGCATTTTCCTTTGCCGCGACATCCTTCGCCATTTCCACAGATGAGTATTCGCGGAGGCAAAACGGGGCTGGAATATCCACGACAATGAAAATTTACGATAAAAAATACAAAGTTTCAAAATTTGTCCTAACAACATGAAAAAAAAATTACTTTGCGCGAAAATGAAATAAACATTTACTATTTAACAGGATTGTACATAATTTTTGTTCGTGAGAATTTTGATCATCAGCTTGTTAAAAAAATGTAACATAATTTACTACTAATTTCGAACAGCAGATAGGCAGCTAAAAGAGGAAGTTTCCATGACAAATCGGAACCAAAAATGGATATATTATTTTTAGCTACATATCAAAAGGGAGAACTAGCGGCCAGATATGGTGTAAAACTTTTTACACTTGATTTATTTTGTTTTTATTTTTAATCATTCATTTATAGTACTTCATACATTTATTACAGAATTTCATTTTTTAGAATCAAAAACACTCTCATGTTTCAATACTATAATTTCTGCTGTTGTCAAAATAGAGTTGACTAATAAAACATTTGTAGAGAACGATATCACGAATGAGAAATAATTATTTAAAGCAATTATAGGTTATTTACGAATGCTAAACTGTATAAGAAATGTCCGTAATGTAAGAATTGATAATAATGAGATTTACAAAAACAGAATAGAAAACTAACTAGTGCGACAAAGTTCTGTAGCACCACCAACCTAAAGCACCACCAACCTATAGCACCACTATTTTTAATGTGACAAGGAAATGACATTTTCATTTCGAATGGATTTCAAAATGACTGGGAAAGGCTACCCACGCCTCAAATTCCCCTTGAAAATACGAGCAATTTTAATCCAATTTCAGTTCCAAAATCTGAGTATTCCCAACATTGCTTTGACGCATATTGTAGAAGGCTACTACAATTTATCTAATGCACACGAATTGCCTTTTACCGCGTCATGTTGACTGTACGTTCGGAAGTGGCTTTTTACTTGGCGCAGTATGGTCTATGATGCATACCTCCGCGTACACTTTCTGTCACACACAACAGCTATAATTTATTTGACGTTCAGTCCCCCTCCTAATATTACACCGCGCGAGCGTGTACTTTCTGGCTATTTTGATCGAATCGCCAATAGCGCCGACCGTTTGTGCCATCAGCCGCTGACTGCCTGGCGCGGCTCGGCGCCTCGGAGGCGCGCGGTCCGCGACACTGTGGCAGGCGCGCTGCAGGACGGCGCCTGTAGCAAGGACGGAGACAGCACGAGGAACATAATTTACCAGCTGCTGCTGCTTACGTAGAAACGTTGTTCATACTTTGATTTATTTACAGTGTCCTTCGGCAGTTCATCAGCTGTTACAGTGTCATCCAATCGGAAGTTTGAACGTCTCTGTAGTGACGTGACGTCTCTGTAGTGACGTGACGTCTCTGTAGTGACGTGACGTCTCTGCAGTGACGTGACGTCTCTATAGTGACGTGACGTCTCTGTAGAGACGTGACGACTCTGTAGTGACGTGACTTATCTGTAGTGACGTGTAACCTTCCGATTAGATGACACCGTAACAGCTGATGATCTGCCAAAGGACACTGTAAATAAATCGAAGTATAAAGTATTTTAACTTGCCTGTTTGTCTCAAAACTGTGGAGCACTTTAATCACGTTACAAATCCAATGTCTGTAGTTGTAAGCCCTCGACTACAATGTCATTACGAAGAGAATTCATTAGGCATTTTCCGGCATACTGTACTATTATACAGATTTAACGCCCTCAGAGGAAAGAAAATCTACTAAACGGCTCACGTCCGTTGACACGTTAATAGCCCGCCGTCCATAAAAAGCAAATGAGTGGTAGCTAACGGCGGTGTATGAGTACATTTATTCAAAGAAATAGTATTTCTTGCTTATAAGATTTTTCTTATACAAGAACGTAATACGAAAAGTACCGAACGACACGGCCAGAGATAATACAAATAATAAACTATTTTTGTTATTATTTTGTTTGTTTACTGGAATGATTTTATATATATAAAGTATATTGTAAGCACTTCCATTCTACGTACATTATGCATTTAATATTTTTAAATGTCATTTTGTGAAAAATATATTGCTCTGCAAATGAGCGTTTAAACAGAAAATCGTTTATGTAGAACTTTAATGTTACATATGTGTAATTTTTGCATTTCACCTCTCCCATTTAGCGTATTTAAACCGAATTAAAGCGTACGTCATGTGCTATGAACTTAGGTATGAACAGAAGTAAAAAATATCAAACATATGCAAACAATACAGATTCATGAATAGTTTGTTACCTTAACATGTGACATGTGGAATAGCGTAAATTAATATTCTAAGTAAATTGTGAAGACAAATAAGTCATGTTGTTTCCAAGCATATACATTAGCGCTGCCCTCATTTACACCTAGGCAGTACAGCCAAATATAAGTAGAATTGGATCCAAATTTCTTAAAGAAAAATTTCGCCAACATTTCAATACACAAATATTACTCAACAACCAAAAGAGAGTAATTTACCTAAGGTAATTTATTGCATTTATCGTTCACCCATTGTCTCTAGGTGATCCTACGAAAATTGGAAATAATTATAAACAAAAGATTTCGACACATTTAAAAGTATCTTTGCTGATAAGAAATGAGCAAATTTTAAAATAGTTATCAAATATAATCCCTATAAATTTGAATTATTAAATTTATAACTATTTTTTATTCTTGTCTCACAGATTATCCTGTTACTCAATTCTATATTCTAGATAAATTCTTAATTAGTTACCACGTATTCAGTATAGATATTCTTAAGACCTACATCCTCCATATTGCCTTCTAATAATATTTCCTATTGTATTTTTGTTTTTCAATTAATAATATGTCCTATTATTTCTTTTTATAAATTAATTATAAAATTTTTCTGAAAAACCTTTCCTGAATATTCTTAGTTTTCGTATATTTTATGTTTCAAAACCTCTCAATGTGTCGTTGCTTATATCTGTTCAAAAATGAATTTGCATTTATCCACATCGATTATCTGAAGTCAATCTTTACGACACTGATATGTTTAGTTATAAGAATTATTAGAAACAAAAGTTTTAATAATCCAAAGTCCACTTTTAACAACTGATCAGTTTCGTAATGAAAAGGGGTTCTCGAACCTCATATATAGAGGTAGAATAGAAACTCATAATAAGATATGTTATGATACTTAATTCGCAAATAACTATCTCTTACATTCCAATCCTTTGAATTGAATAGAATAAAATAAAATATTTAATATGCTATTTAGGAGTACATATAAGTACTTAGGTGGCCCGATTTCAAACAAAAAAAATCAACTTTAATACCCAAGACAAAAAATTAGACAAACATTACTTACATAACTACTAAATAAAATTTCACGAAATTAATATTTTATCCCATCCTGCTAAAGATCTAATATAAAATATCAAGAATAATATCAAATAACGAAGGCACATTTGAATGTTGAATTACAAATATTAAAAACCCATACAACAATGAGGGCCACGCTTTGAGCCGGTCGATTGTCCCACTGTGCCCAAGGGCTGGGGCTCCACCCACGAGGAGTCTCTTTTCCGAGAAGGCATCAGGTCGCCCGCGCACATAGACTCACTCGCGCCCGCGCCGCCCTCTACCGCCCACCGCCCCACCGCCCTCCGGGGAAGCACGCTGCGTCACGGGCGATCGATGCGTCAAATCGCCCTCGCCCCGCCCCGCTCCGCCCCGCCACGCCCCTGGCGATCGCCCCGGGCGAAACGTTGCCGCCGCCGCCGCCACCGCCGCCAGTCCGAGAGATTGGGCCACGCTACATGTAGCCAAAGCTGAGCACTCAACTCAGCCAGCCTCCTACGGTCTTGAGAAACATGGCGCTTCAACTTCGATTTATAGATTTTGATTGTATAATGTCATGATACATTTATCTTTCAAATGAGTCCTATTTTACTGTCGCACCTCCATGCTAAATGATTTTTTTTTTCAATAAAAATTAAGATATGCTGATCGGATGGGTCTCTTACGGGTGTGGATAAAAGGGGTTTAGTTGCCAAAATTTTTTTTTATTTTATTTTTATACTTTGGAGTTTAGAATATTTTTGTCTTTCAAACAATCCTAATCTTATTGTCCTATTTACGTCGATTCTAAAATGGTGGTTTTTCGTCATTAGTTAATCCCTACTTGGAGAGTGCGTGTGTTCGAGGACATTCAAAGCTTGTTAAGTTTAAAATTTTGGTACAAAATGTATGCCTTCACAACATATAAGAAAGATGGGAAGTTTAACTTTTAATAACAATTATTTGTCTTTATATTTGTACTAAATCGTTCTTTTGAATATAAACAAACTTAAAAGTATTAACACCCCGGAACAAATTGAATATTTTATACACAGAATATTAAGACAAATATTAAGGAAATTTACTAAATACAATACTTTTTAATAATAATTATGTGATAGGAATGCACACACTAAAAATAATTCTGTGTGCAAAAAAGACTCTAATATTGGCAAGTAGCAATTTTTTTAAGCAATGTAACATTGAATTTGGGGAAAACTACCCTCAAACACAAAACATTATTCACGAGATGCAACACGGTATCTGGAAATCGAAGCCCCACAACTTTAATGGCTGCAATTCTACTTGTGTGAAAGAATGTCGAAACAGGCTGAGGTGGTGCCATCGAGATTTTGCTTTAGGGAGGGCTGCATATCGGACCTGATGATTTGTAATTTCTTTTTAAATGAAAAGATAAATATCATGCTGAATTAGGTTCATTTACGCTCTATTTAAATTTATTTTTATTTGTTAGTTTAGTATAATTATTTTCAAGTTTTTAATTGACATTTTGAATGACTTCCGTTACTACAGAAAATTAGAAAAAACTACTTATGTGAATGTGTGTCAACGGCGATCGAATGGATTTCTCCATTGAGTGTGCCACTGGTCTTATGCTGTTAATTTCAATTGAGATGTATGGTTGATGAACTGGCAATTATTGTACTGGAATTTCATTTTATATAAAAAGAATAATTCCAAGAAATGTGATTTACCTTACTCTAATATTAAGTTTATGATACGATTCATTTTGTAGATTTTTCTTTAAATCCATTCTTCAATAACAAAAAATATACTCATGTAAATACCAATAAAATGTTTTTTCTCTCTTAACTAGAAATTAACTAGTTTAAATGTCAGAAGATTTCCGTACACAAATTCAGTACATTGTATCTGACTCTTTAGAAAATAGTTTTGTTAGTTTCGGAGAAGTTTCGTGGCCACGGTTCATTTTTATTCAAGACGTACTTTGATACTTCAGTTAATAATTTTAATCTGACCATGAAATAATACGTTAATAATTTCCACAATCAACTCTTTAACATAAACATTCGCTTTTCAGAACTAAAGAATAACAAGCAACTTGAAAGAGACTTCGTCTCCCTCCGGGTGGTTCATAGGCGCAGCCGGCATCTCGCACAACATTTCTTTGGACTAGACCACTTCCGTTCAATTCAGTCTACACTGACCACTATTGCGCTTCAAAATGCCAGCTCAACTTACCTCTTCACTTCGCAACTTTTCCAGATGGTTCATTTTAGGCGACAAATGAAGATCCAATTCCTCTCCTTCTGCTTTGTCTGGTTCGCTGAAATCGATTTCCAGCATCGTCTTCTTCTTCTGTCAAACCACACACATTAATTAAATCACTTTGCCACAACAGCTATCACAATGAAAATATTCCTAGTGACATTACTATTTCTGGCATACAAAATATGATATTAATTCAAATTATAATCATTTATTTTATATATAATATATAAAATTTTAAAGCTTGGGCATTTACTATAAATATAAAATATTTAAGAAACAAATTGTTTCGTATTTTCTACAAGATCACTTGCTGTCTCAAAATTAGAGAATTGCAATTTTGGAGCGAATACTCTAGTGCATTTGCTAGTAGCGCCGACGTATCGCTGAAACCTTGTCCAATAGCCAAGGTTGCATTGTCATATGGACATCAATGAACAACGAATACAACTCTTAATGCCACTGTGCAAAACAGAATCAAACCTTCGACTGAGATGGCTCAATGAAACCAACCATTGCCACTGCTGAATATGAGACCGGGAGGTTCTTCGGCTCGAGTCCCGACAGTGGCCAATTTTCCATACTGACTAGGTCGAATTGAGACTCTGTCTCGAGATGAATTCTAACTACCCACTGCTCAGCTCGATAGTATTTCTTAGCTCCTCACGTCAATACAAAAAGAGAATGCCGGAGTGGTATCCTAAGAAATGGGCTATGACAGCGCGATCTCCCTTTCCCCACCCTCGTCCCCTCTTCTTCCGTTAGACAACACACTTACACGCACTACACCCACATACGTATCGGAAGATAAGAACTTTCCCGACCGGGCCTAGAGCCCGCTTGAAGAAATTCGTGGAGGTGAAAACCCCGCACTCCGTCGTGAAGATCGGCGCCGCATGTCACCTTCCAGCAGGTCAAGAGCCTAGTGACCAAAGTACTTGTCGCACCCGGAAACAAGGAATAGTAACTCATCGCTATCGCTGAATGAGACTATCACTCCGTAGGCAGAGATACCTGGCGATGCCCGCAAACCGTCGTGAAGATCAGCACCAGACATTCCAGTAGGTCGTACAGCTAATGACCGAAGTCCCAGTTGCACCCGGAAAAAGGAAGTAGCAACTCCGGCAGCCGTGACCTCCGCCACGCCACAACCTCGAGAACTGCGCCCTGCCTCGTGAGAGACACGGCTTCGCCGCCGCCTTCGCCGCCACCAGGACCGTCGCCGTCGTCGCCGTCGCCGCCGTCGCCGCCGTCGCCGCCGCCGCCGCCGCCGCCGCCGCCGCCGCCGCCGCCGCGCGCGTTAATTGTGATGGAAAACGGCTGCCGGGCGGCGCGCGCGTGCATACATTAGCGAAGCGGGTCCCCTCGGGCATACAGCCCGCTTGCCACTGTACAAAACAGTACCGGATACCGGCTGACGAAATGGAGACTGGTCTGATTGAAATGGTTCAATGAAAACCACCGTTGCCGCTGTACGTGTGAGACCTTAAGACTACGTCCTTAGGTTCGAACAACAACAGTGACCAATATTCCAGACTGACTAGTTGGAATTCAATCTTTGTCTCGTGACATCTAACGCTCCATTCGGGACTTTAGTCTTCTTTACCCATCAATAGTTTTCTTTAGCATATCTCATCAATACAAAGCTAGTGCCCAAGTGGTATTCTTAGAAAAGGGGCAACGTCTGCGCCATGTCCATCCTTATACAATATTCTTCTGTTAACACAATTCCAATTACAAGCACTACATCACCACCACCACCACCACCACCACATCGGGAGTTATCCCGACTGGAGCGCTAGCTCGCTAGCAGAGATACCTGAAGGTGAAAATCAGCCCAAACCGTCGTGAAGATCGAGGGCGGACATTCCATCGGTTCACGGGCGTAATGACCAAAGTACCTGTTACACCCGGACACAGGAGTGAAGAACAATAGGTACTAATCACTATCGCTGTCGTAGAATTGGGCTACCACTCCGTTGGCAGAGATACCTGTAGGTGAAAAAACTCGCAATCCGTCGTGAATATGTAAGCCGCATCTCACGTTCCAGCAGGCCAAATGACCAAAGTACTACTCGCACCCGGAATCCGGAAGTAGCAACTCTGGCAGCCGTGACCACACCTCACGAACTGCGCGCCGTCCCGCACGACAGGGCTTCCTCCGCCGCCCCCAGCGCCGCCACGCGCTAACTCTGATGGAAAACGGCTGGCAGAGAAACCGCGAGGTGAAAACCCCGCAATCCGACGCGACGATTGGCGCTTCATCTCACGTGACGATCCAGTAGGTCAAGGGACTAATGATCAAAGAACCAGTCTCACCCGGAAACAGTAACACCGTGACCTCTGCCACGCCACCACCTCGGGAACTGCGTACCTCCGTGTGCGCGACATGGCAACCTCCTCCTCCTCCTCCTCCGCCGCCGCCGCCGCCGCCGCCGCCGTCGCCGCCGCCGCGCGCGCTAATTGTGATGAGAAAACGCGGGCGCGCGGCGCGCGCTGTGCATACATTAACGGTGGCCCCTCGGGCGGGGGGGGTGAGGGCGCTAGTTTGGTCCCTTGTTTGGCGGAGCCGCGCTGCCACAACCCTTCTCTACGCGTTCTCGGCTCAATGCGCTCTGATCAGCGGCGGTAAGTAGCCCCATTCTGGAGGACGCACTTTGTTATGCATTCAGCGGCGGCGGCGGCGGCGGAGGACAGGTAGCGGAGGCGCATTCACCGCATGCAGATGGGGCTGGCGAAGGCTCGGGGTTCGCGGCGACCGTTGCAGCCGTCGCAGCCGCGCAGGGGGCGGGGGAGGCGATGCGGCGCGCGGCGCGGCGCGGCGCGCCGGGAAGAGACGTCCCGACGCCTGCCACGCTTCCTCCAAGACCCTTCCTCCCCCCCCTTCCTCACGTGTGCAAGTTCCCGAGCGCTGGGCGTCTTCGCGAGGGGAGACCGCGTCCTCTTCAGCGATGCGCGACCACCGGCGGCCCGGGGGGGTAAGGGGCGCAAAAGGGTTTTTTTTTGGAAAAAAGCGGGCGGAGCCCCAGTCGCGAAGTGTCGCCTTTTCAACTGACGTCGCTGCGGCGGCTCTGACCGGAAGGTCCTAGGTTCGAGCCCCGACGGCGGCAGGGTTTTCGACGCTAGCCTCTTAGCTCCGTCTGAAGGATAATTCTTTACAGCTTCTCTGTCTCCGTCTGGAAGATAATTCTAGTGGCCGGTGGCTCTCATTGGTATTTTCCGTGGTTTCTCCGATCAACACCAGACGAATGCTGGAGCAGTGCTGTAACAAACGGGCTATGGACTGCGCGCGATCTTTCCTTCTTCCGTGTTCTTTTCACACCCCTTGTACACACACACATACTTACATGCACTACACTACCAGTCTGGGGCTCAGAGCGTGTCCCTTCTTGGGCGGTGCGCCGCTGGCAGGAGATACCTGGTAGGGGAAAACCCCGCTAGCCCACGGTAGGTCGGCGCCGGATCTCTCTATCTAAAGGGGATAGATCCCCGCCATCTCCCGAGTGGGAAAACATACAATACACTTTCGGGACTAATAACATAAACAGTTAACGTGCCCGGAATCCCTAATCAATCAATCAAAACTAAATCTCCTTTAAGTTGCTACTGGTGGAGATATCTTGGTGACATCAACCGTTACCACCACAGCGTTTCTGACCAGAACATTTAGAGTTGGAGTCTAGACGGTGGCGAACTTTTCACAGTCTCGAAAGCCAGTAAGTCCAGCTGTAGCGTGCACTACACTCATGTGAGTAATGAGAAAAGACATTGTAGCGCCCGGAGACACGAGACGCCCCTCGCCGTCGCAACGGCAGCCGCAAATCAAATGGCTCCAGATCTTCGTACGGATACGTACAGATACGGTACACAGAAATTTAACTAAAATGTATATATTTCTCTATCGTTGAGCTAATTAGGTACGTGCTATTATTTACGTAATTTTTGAGTTCGATAAGCATTTTCATGGAATTGGAAGTGTGTTTTCCTCTAATTTCTTATTTGCTCAATTGAAACTGCTTCTTTGGAAATGACACAAATCAAACTGTTAAATCAGCTTTATATATAGTATAAATACAAAGAAGTGGAATTGAAGAAAGCCACTTACTTTTAGAAGTATAGTACATTTTGTTTGAACCTTCTTTGAAGGTATTCACTTGATTATTGTGTATTTGACTAGAGAATTTTGGACTAGAACATATTTCAAAACATTTTTCGAGCTTTAGTGTTGTGAAAAGTAAATGGAATAATATGAGTTACGTCATCCTGACCTCTTCATCTTACTGATTGAGAGAACATTATAATTCTAGTGTTGAAATCTTTGGTGCATTGTCAAAAGGGTTAAGTCACATTTTAGCCATTTTTAGTTTTTGGCGCAATTTTGATAAAAAAAAATAAGCACAAGCTTTCGTTTCATATACTAAAGGATATCTGTGAGCAACACGGACAAAACTCATGGGACCGTAGCAGTTGTCAGGCCGTGAATGCCGATCGAACGTAGAGAGTCAAAGTGGCCCTCTTCACTCGGACAGCGACAAAAAGAGTCGTGCGTCGGCAACCTGCGTCAACGGCGTGCGTTCCTTTCGACCAGGCTGTCTCCTCTCGCACCTCCCTTCGGTCGCCGGCCGACCTCTGTCAAAGGGACAAACATATCGGCGCGGGGGGGGGGGAGGAGGAGGAGGAGGAGAGGTTGAGTATTTGCGCAGTTCCCCCGTCCCGTGGAGCGGAATGCGGATGTCAAGAGATGTACATCGCTGCGCCGCTCGTCCGCCCCATTGAGTCTGATTAGGCCCTCGATCCCAGCGCCGCGCCGCAACGCGCGGCAACGCCAGCGAACAGATAAACAAACAGCGATCGGCCCCGCGCTGAGGGCCCGACGCGGATTATCCACCGGCGGGCGTTTGTCTAGTGTTCCCAATTGTTGAAATTTGTTACACGAGTACCTGGAATTCGCAAGTAGATGTACTCGTATAAGAGAGGTAATTTTTAAACGCATTCATTTTGCACTATCACTGATGATGCACTCGAAACATAGGAATGTCTAAAGAATAAAACAATATTTTAATACAGTTCAATGTCAACAATCCTCTTAG